AAATGTGGGAACTCGATAATTTAATTGACGTTACTGTGGAACCTATCGTTATCAATCTAGGAGACGAAGATAATTCATCAGAATATTCAGAGGATGAATTTTAATATACCTACTTTTTTATTTTCTTTATTGTACATTTATACAACACTACATTTACTCACCATAATTTGAATTTTCAAAATACATATATTTTTGTGTGGAATAAAAGTCTATTCATTAAATTTAAATAAATATTTTGATAATAATATTGAATAATTTTATTTGAATTACTAAAAACCCTCTTAACCCGGTTATGATGCTTAAAGTAGCCTCATGTTTTGAAATGCTGTTTTTATATTGTTTACTTATAAGAGAAATGGACCGAGAAATTGAAGCGGCATAGACAAAGACGGATTGTCGGGGATTAAATTTTAGCTACCTGCTACAATTTAGTACAACCCGGTCACACAAAGTTTTTTTAAAAGTACACCTCATCTATACGGATAATACATAATATAAAAATATTGAATATAAGCACCAGTACTACATTTATTTACGATTTGCATACATAATAAGCTTTTATTACTCTCTTTCATTTCTAAACAGATTATAGTGTTTTTCCATTCTTTTCTCGTCGCAGCATAGACAGAGTAATTTTTGTAATGTAACCAATCAGTGTGCATACGAATGCGTTTACATTTTTGTGCCTTATCTCTTTTACGATTAACTTTAAATCCGGAGTCAATCAAGGAGCTTGCGGTTTAGTAACCCTTACTTGCTTTACTGGAGCATGTGTGTCAAATTGAGTTGTTACGACATCATTCAAAAGTAATACCGTTTCATCAGGATTATTTTCATGAGTCTGCTCAAACCAAGAGAGGTTATACAAGCACTTAAAAAATCGTTCAAACTAAAGTGCTCAAAATAGCGGTATGATATAGTTTAGGCGGTATATTACCATCAATAACGGTCAGGTTAAAAAATATCATTCTGTGATCTGGTACACTGTCAACACCAATGGATCCAACACTTTCAATGATGTTATAGTATTAATAATAAACACAGGATCTATTAACATACTGGGGATACTAATAATTCTTGTGGGCTCAATCATTTAAGAAGCAGGACTCGAACGGATTTTGAACATTGAACAAATGTACGTAGCAAATGGAAATGCAAAAACAAAGAATAAATTATTGAAAAACAGTAAAATTCCAATTTTAAAATTTTTACTTTGATTATGTCGATATTATTTATTTTACATCCCTTTATAGAGGTAGAAGATAATAATAATACCAATAGATATATGTTCCCTCCAATAAAGCTATTAAGCATCAGCCCATAATAAAATTTATAAAACTTGATCAGGATCAGATTCACATCTCCACATCTGAAATAGGAACAAACATATATTATCGTCCGAACATATTTTTCTCTATTTTTATCGACCTGATGTTAATCTAAATACTTTAGATTGTACTTGACAATGTAGAGAGGTAATTTCGTTTTATTTTACAATATTATGTTCGCCTTATCAAGCCGTCAGTTTGTATTCCTTCACGTTTCGAGACACATCGCTCTATTGTTCAAAAGGAACCGATGAAACCCTTTTAAGGTCAGTGGACAATTTAGATAAAATCATTGTTAATGACAATATGGTAACAAAATACGATTATGTAAAAAGATTTATCTTCGGATTTGTGACTGTTATCTTTACCTGATGATAACAATGGTTTGCTACGTATTTTAGATAATACCTATTATATCTGATTATGTATGTTATTAAATATAAAATACTTGGTACTCTCACTGAATATTTTTTATTTATGTCGTTTATAGACACGCATTAATAATAACTCAAAAAAAATAAATGTGGTGATCATAACTTAGGTAGGTACCTAGTTTTGAATGTTTCTTTTCACACAGTGTAATAGGAATGAAATTTATACAAACGTACCTAAATGGTAGCAATGTTACAGATGGTAAATCGGTATAAAATGATTATTTAAAATTGTCTCTATGACTAATTTACAGATTTATTCCATTACAAATTAATTTTTCAAGTATTAATTAAACTAATTGACTCAATATTTGACTTTAATTGTATGAGTTGTGAATTCTTAACTGATTGTCATATACAGGATGTAAGAAGTTTGACTGCAAAAAGTTGAATATGATATTATCGATAATCAGGATCTAATTGTAGGAATATTTCTCTAAGGGTAACGCATAAATACATTAAGTCAACCATCGTTAGTAACTTGCCTAATAAATACTACCGTTTTCTTTATACCTTGATTCAAATAAATAGTTTTAAAATAATGGTTATTCATTCAACTACTAACTTCATTGGGATAATAAATATTATTTTTTCATTTCTAGGCCACCATGGGCAGAAATAAATACGATTTAAGTGATGCGGGGGATGAAAAAAAGGGTCCGTTGGATGTGTAAGTAAAAACAAATATTGAATTATCTCTATGCGGTGGATATATCAATCGAAAATCAAAATTGTGCATAATTGGTAACAGTAGCTGAATTTTTGAAGCTTTACGCCAAAAAATCTGTCTCCTCGGAAAGTCGTATTAAAAAACTTATATTTAAGATTTATAGATATTTAATCTGTTAATTACAGTTATGTTTATAGACGTAATTTTGAAAAGAAGTGATTTCTATTAACTGAAAACTATTGTAGGGAATTTGTACCCAAGGAAGAAAAAAAGGAGTACTCTTTTATTCAACTGGTAAGTCAAATTTACTTTCTACTCAGCTTGTATCAATCTGAAGGAAATTTGATGAGTCTAATGGAATATTACGTGAATTTTTCATAGTTATTTTTGGTGGATAACAACAGTTTAGGTTAATATTTGGCATTCAGCATTGAAAAAAGTCTGATTTCCTTTAATCTTGACACCAACATGTAAACTTTATATTCTATTTCAGTACAGATATGCAACAGGGTTTGACAAATTTTTGCTAGTTATGGGGTTACTCAGTGCAGTGGTAACCGGAGTAATCCAGCCGTTAAATATGATTCTGTTTGGTACTTTGACGGGAGACATCATAGATTATGCAATCGCTATCAACACTCCAGGAATTTCGGATGACGACTTTGCAGCAGCAACCGAAGTTTTTATAGAAGCTATCCGATATTTCGCAGTCATGAACTCTCTGATTGGAGTGGGCATGTTCGTTTTTAGTTATATATCAACTGAATTCTTTAACTACTCAGCTTTAAGACAGGTAATTAGTTAACATTTCGATTCCTATATAGGGTGATCCACTTAAGATTAAGGACTCTTCAGCAGCTCTACAGTAGTATCAATAATACAAAAATTTTGCAACAAATCAATTTCTTTACATTTGAACTTATGTTGGTGTTATCATACAGGCTGTCTACCATTCATTTTTAAGTGGAGTATCCTATGAAATATATTATTGCATTATTTAATTTCTCGTTGAAGAGAATACTTTACAAGAATACTTTATTGCCACAAATTGATTGTACATTTTAAAAACATTTAAAATTATTTAAAAAACCGATGGCGTACGATTTTTTTCAAAAAAAGGTCCTCTACTCCCCTAATAACTACGCCACTGGAGTGTATTTTGGGATTTGGGATTATCTATGAAAAAATAATCCCTATTAAAAAAATGTCATCCCCCAAATTTTATCACTAAATATTTTTTGCCAGTCCTATCAAAAATTTTTATAGGGCAAAAGTTGAGCAGTAGAATACGCCATTAAAGTAAGGTAAAACTTATCATTAACACCCTGTATAAAGCTTAATACAAATAAATCGTAAATTTAATTTAATTTCGATTTTATTAAGGTTTGTTGGTTGTCTACCTTGCAAAATATTCTCGTTTTTTCATATTATTTGTTGTTATACCTTGTTGAAAAATGTATGCCAATAAATAATGAAATTTTTCCCTTTTATGAGGCTCGAAAAATACTTACATTTTTCAATTTCAATTTCCATTTCTAGTTAAATCGTATGACCTTTTTCAGATGTATTTGATAATATCAAGAGTGACATTATTTGATTAGATAAGTCTGTCCTAAATTAGTAGTTTGTTTACTTTTGAATTTTAGGCATTTCGGCCATCAAAAATAAATAATTTTAGTCTTGGACTAATTCCAATTGTTGCCATTTTCAACAATTTTCAAATACAACATAATATAGGATGTGGTTATCTAAAAATATTCAAATTAATTTCCATTTTCTTTAAACATACTTCAGAATACTTCAATAGTAATTTTTTTATTACTTTTCTTTGCAGATATATAAGATCCGGTCCGTATATTTAAGCAAGGTATTAAATCAAGATGTTCCGTGGTATGATCTTCACCAAACAGGGGATTTTGCAAGCAGAATGTCAGAGTAAGTAGATAAAGAAATTATTTTAATTAACCCTCAATACCGCCAAACTGGCAGAGAGCGACCTGCTATTTCATAGGTACTATAAAAGCAAGACTTGCGTTGATACTAGATTAAATAATTTTTAGACTGATAATATTGCGGGAAACAACTGCTCTTCTGACTAATGCTTTGCCCCGATAGGATTGTTATTATTATTACATCTCACCTATACTTATTACATGTCTAGGCACCAAAGACAGCTGGATCACTCGTCAGTTGTCTCACCTATGACATATTGACGACAACTAATGAGTTCCAAACCGGTATATATCTGGTGGATTCAACTGACGAATGGTCCTAGTTGTTTACTAGATATTGCGGATATAATTCAATGCTAGTCGGGGCATCAGTCCAAAAAAATTGTTTCCGCAATATTGGCGGATACATTTTATGATTCACAATCAGACACAATTAACCGTTTTATCAATAACTTCGACCATTTCTATTTTAAAGAAAAAACACGTGTTTGTTTTTATCTGATTATTTTTATTATCAACGTCAACGTTATTAATAACAATAATATATGTTATCCGCTTGATAATCATATTGTCACCATTTGAGTTGATGCAAGGGATGGTAATTGAAAAATCGTTATTAAACGGATTTAGACATATATATTTAGAAATGGGAATCAACTTAAGGTGACCATATCCCTGGCCGAGAAATAGTGAAATTTCTGGCGTTTTTAGGTACTGAAATCTTGAAAGTAAAACTTGTAGAACAAAAGTAAGCACAAAAATAAAATCCATGATGTCTTGTTTATTCATTGTTACCAAATTTATCCAAATAAAATAATAACTAAAAAAGCGTTTGCTGTTATCCTAACCCCACATTTTAAGAATTAATTTCACGTACTTATAAATAAAAGTAAACTATTTTATATGTAGGACTAAGCAAGTAAATGTTATAAGAATATTTACATGTGGAGTTATAGTATATAAAAAAGTTAGTATTTTCGTAGATTTCAGTACCTAAAACCTTGATGGTTTGATCGTTTTTTGCACCTTTTTTACGGCGGCGTCTTTGAAAATACTCAGGTGGCATGACATAACATTCCTATTATTTGATAAACTTTAGATTATTCAGTTATTAAATGTTTGAAATTATTTGTCTTTCCGGAAAACACTCTATACCCGACTATATTTAATTACAAATTAAATTAACTGAGCTTTATTGTTTCTTCAAACAAATTTGAATTAAAGAAAACCAACAAGGAAAAAGTTAAAACGATTTACACTACTTGGCCAAATTATTGAAAATGTGTAACAACAATAACAACATACTGTGTGGAACTTTAAAGAAGTCCGCTCTGTATAAAATGAAATCAAAAACATTGGATAAGGGTGGTATGGATTCACACTCCAATCTATATTCACCTGTACTAGGAAATTATAACAAATCTATACCTAAATCGACGCAATTAGCGACCGTACTAATATTGTATTGCTCAACGGTCTAATAAAAAAGCCAAGAAAAAGAACTATGCGGACGTGAAAAACTTAAGCAAGGTTTAACTTAGAACTAATATATTATGAATGAATGAATGAATGAATTCATTATTTTAAGTAGATGTACGGAAACGAATGTACGAAAATGACAAGCAATTGCAAAATGAAAAGAAATCAAAATATCCAATTAGGCAATTCGAGTCGAGAACCTTGTTATGATTAAAAAAAGAAACAGTCGTGAAAACTAATTCTGAAAGTATCTTATGCTCGAAAGGACGAAAAAAAGGTACGAATTTTAGCGGATTGTATGTGTATGAAGAAAAAATTGATTATATAACGAAAAGAGGTTGCAAAACGACTTACCGATGCTGATTTGTTGGTGCAAAGGACGATGGTAAAGAGTTGGCAGCATTGTCTTCTTTCTTGTAAGTTTGAACGAAAATCACTTCGCGATCAATCAATCCGCGTGTGCACGCTACCGAATTTGTTTTCGTATTGCCGCTTGCCACCTTTTTTCGCGTAGAAAAAATATTTGATACAAAAACTAGGTATTATAAAAAGCGAGAAAACAAAATTGCCGACTCAATAGAATAATTACCTGAATATTTTATATTAATTAAACGACAAATACTTAATATATACTATATCGTTTATATGCGCAATTTTTTGCCCAGTATTTTAGAAGATCTAAGCAAGTTAGAAACATTATCTCTCCACTGTACCAATTATAAAAGTTTTCTTCAAGGTATAAGACAACTGACAATACATTCAAAATAAGAAAAAAGGCATAATTTTACCTCGTATATTTATCATTACGTTTTACGAATTGTGCACGCCATTAATCACAATTATTGAGTATCTTTGCAAATTTGCTGGACGAAACAGGAAAGGTACATTTTCTGATGTTTGCATGTTCTCCGTGATCTTTCAATATAAAAAATTAAAGGAAGTTGCTCTAGTTTAGTGTTACTTGGTCACTTCTACTTGTTATAACAATGTCTCACTAAAAGTAGCCTTAAATGAAATATTTTATATGTGCATAACAAAATGTCTCTTACTATTTCAGGGACATTTTCAAGTTTGAGGATGGCATAGGCGAAAAAATTCCAATGTTCCTGACCTTCCAAGTTGTGTTCATAACGTCATTAATTATAGCTTTTGTTAAGGGATGGGAGTTGGCCCTTATTTGCTTGACTTCCTTGCCAGCATCACTTATAGCTATAGGGGTCATTGCGCTGGTAAGTATTTTTTTTTTAATTTAGACTGATTAAATTTAACGTTGATAAAGTCGAATAGAATAAAGTTTATGGTGAAAATTTTTATTTTCTGTTTGCTGAGTGCCAAATTTAACAGCGTAGTCCTTCCAGATGCAATTGTTTTAGATTTTAATTATTAACCTTGAGATCCTAATTTATACAATCTACGATTATCACTAAGTAAAATTATTTGTTAAAAATTATTTTTAACATGAAGTATATTATTTTGTCTCTTATAAAAATGAATTATACAGATTAGTACTTTATTGTTTTATTTCATATCAATTACGATAATGCTAAATGATATGAAAATAATATGACATGTCTTAAGCTATGAGATATGCGAATTTTTATACCTATACCCATATTTCGGGGTTTTACTTGAATAAATTAGGTACTATTCCAGTTTTATATTTGTTAAATAACTCTTTTGCTGTCGAGAAAGCTAATTCTTCAGGGACCAACTTGGATATTTAATTCAGTTCAATTAAACTAAGATAGTTACAAAATATAGGTGCACCATTCGCTTTAACTAAGAAAGTATTACGATTTCTATTTCAGTTAACTTCTAAATTGGCGAAAAAGGAGTTGGATGCCTATAGTTCCGCGGGTTCGATAGCTGAAGAAGTCCTTTCCTCGATAAGGACAGTGGTTGCATTTGGTGGTCAAAGGAAAGAAATAGAACGATATGACGAGAATTTGGTATTTGCAAAAAATAATAACATAAAAAGATCAATGTTCGCAGCTATAGGATTCGGTTTACTGTGGTTTATAATTTACAGCAGTTACGCTTTAGCCTTTTGGTATGGAGTTAGGCTAGTGTTGAGAGACAGACCTCTAGGAGACGATGCCGTATATACTCCTGGAAATATGGTTACAGTAAGTGTCAAAATTTTTATTAGTTTACTATTTGAATGGTTTAAGTCGTGTGAATTTGTAGTATATTAAGTATGAATGTCAGTAAGTGTTCTTTACTGGTTTGGGATATGTTTAGAAATGTCCGAAATGACCGCAGTGATTATGACGTTTTTGCACGCTCAAATATTAGTCCAGTAACCACGTGAACCATTTTGAACTGTTTTTTTTTTCGATTTTGTATTTTGCCACCTTGTATCTTTGCCGCTGGCGCCGTTATTCAAAGAAAAAAGTAACCTGAAATCAATTTTTGTATATATCTTGTTTCGGGTTAATTTTACAACAAAAATGATTCTGTATTAAATTAAACTACACAATTTTTTCTACATAAATGTGTCTACCTACCGCTCGGACGCAACAGCTGACGACGTCGTCTCTTTTCAATCAGGACAAGCTCAAATTTCTTAATGTGTTGCAAAAATACCATTCACGAAGTTATAAAAGTGTTTAAAGAAAAAGTTGCTGACAAAGAAAATATAGCTAAAGCTGAAGAATCCTTTCTTCTCAGCCTTTACGGCTATAATAAAATGGAATTTATACCTCTGAACACTTATAGACACCAATGTTTCATAAAATCAGCATACAGGAATAAATTTAACATCGTTTCATTGCCTGCTACAGAAGCAGCAGCAAGACAACATTCGTCTCAAACGTATCATCAGGTACAAGCAATGGATTGGTAACGAAAAACCTGCATATCAATGGGGATGGGAGAAAGACAAAAATGGTCTTGTCCCTCTGACTACACTCCAAACCCCTGTTCCAGAAGTTCTTCTTAAACTTATTTCTTGTAAATGCAAGAAAGCATATCGGCGAGCATGTGAATGTAGGAAAGCAGGACTCAACTATGACAATAGATGTGATAACATCAAGCATTGGAAGATAGTGATGACGATGAAGACACTGATACGATCTTAGAACAACTGTGTAATGAAATCAATACAGGAAGTAGAGAAGAAGCTATTGCGCCGGAATAATTGATCGCACCCGACTCTAAGACTTCGTTTTCAATTTTGTCTTAAATAAAAATTAATTGTTAAAATTCTACATTTATACTTACCGTAAAAGTCACTTACGAATGTAACAAATTCAGTAAAAGTGTCTAATTACCTGAGCGTGCAAAAACGATTTTTTATACCTAGATTTTCTTTTTTAATTTGTAATTTTGTCCACTTGACTTGTCAAAAATTATGAATTAGCTCTGAAAATGATTTATCATTCAGTTAACCATATGTATTTGATACAAATTTGAGTCCATAAAAATCTTTGATGGAAAATAAAAATAAAAAAATTTATTCACTTAATTTTGTAGGTATTCATTGTATGTATAACTGACGTAAATATTTACTTTTTAGGTATTTTTCAGCGTAATGACTGGAAGTATGAACTTTGGTGTATCTTCACCTTATATCGAAGCTTTTGGAATATCTAAAGCTGCCGGAAGCAGAATATTTCAGGTTATCGATAACACTCCTGAAATAAACCTTTCTAAAGGCAACGGTGAAAAAATTGACAACTTGAAAGGTAACATCAAACTGAAAAATGTGCATTTCCGTTACCCTTCCAGAAAAGATGTACCGGTAAGTCAAGTATTTAAACATTATATTAAATTTTTCAAAATTTAATTCATAATTTCTTATCGTCTTTGCGAAATACAAGTTTATAATTTTTGGTCCCTCTTTTTAGATTTTACAAGGTTTGGATATTGACATCGATGCTGGAGAAACAGTAGCTCTAGTTGGTACATCAGGTTGTGGAAAATCTACTGTTGTTCAACTAATCCAAAGGTTTTATGACCCTATTGAGGGCGAAGTAAGTTCCACATAATTATAATAATTGAATAACTCTTATTCCATCAATGTTTCCATTATTTTAATCACGCTTATACGCTTACACGCATCTAATTTTAGGTGTTTGTTGACGGCAGAAATATTAAAGATTTAGATCTTACATGGCTCAGGAGTAACATAGGCGTAGTTGGTCAAGAACCAATTTTATTTGGAACTACAATTTTGGAAAATATTCAATTTGGGAATAAGGACGCTACTCCGGAAGACATCAAACTAGCCGCGAAGAAAGCCAACGCACACGAATTTATTAAATCACTGCCAAATGGGTACAACACACTCGTTGGTGAAAGGGGTGCTCAATTGTCTGGAGGTCAGAAACAGCGTATTGCCATTGCTAGAGCTTTAGTGAGAAATCCCGCCATATTGTTATTGGATGAAGCTACCTCAGCTTTAGATAACAACAGTGAAGCAAAAGTCCAAGCTGCACTGGATTCGGTAATTATTACATTTTTCAGTTACTATCTCGTTCAACAATACAAAGACTTAGCATTTGATGTGTTCTTACTGTTCATCTACATCATTCGACTGGATTAACAATAATCAACACTTTGATCCACTTTTGTAGGCCAGTAAAGAATGTACTACGATTATAGTAGCTCACAGGTTGTCTACAATAAAGGGCGCAAATAAAATTGTTGTAATATCAGCAGGGAAGGTTGTAGAACAAGGAACTCATGATGAGTTAATGGCATTGAAACATGAATACTACAGTTTGGTCACAACGCAAGTGCAAAGTATTGTGCCTGCATCTAAATTAGACAGAGTAAACAGCGTAGGAAAAGAGGACTTGGATAACGTCTCAATAGCAGAAGTTGTCGAGGTAACATATTTGAGCATATTACTTCATATTCATTCATATACTATTTCTTCCCGATTCTTTGCACATTTTACTTAATACAGGTAGTGGAGGCAGAACAGGAAGACATGAATTCAGATAAAAAGGATTCCGTTATCGAAGTGATGAAAATGAATTCTCCAGAGTGGCCCCACATCCTAATAGGATGCATCGGAGCAATTATTATGGGATGCGCTATGCCAATATTCGCTGTGTTATTTGGTAGCATATTAGGCGTAAGTACTGCCTCAACTGAAATAGACAAAAAAAATTGTATCCATTTTTCTTTTCTAGACATTGTCTGGGGGAGATGAGGAACAAGTTAGATCAGAGGCAAATACATTTGCTATGTATTTCGTTATTGCAGGAGTTGCCGCTGGAATCGCTACTTTCTTCCAGGTTGGTAACGAAAATATATTTTTGTATTTAAAAATGTACATTGCGTCTATACATTTTAGATGTTCATGTTTGGGATTGCCGGTGAGAAACTTACCAAAAGAATCCGTAAACAGATGTTCCAAGCTATGCTAAGTCAAGAAATTGGTTATTTCGACAGGCAATCAAACGGTGTAGGTGCTTTGTGCTCCAGACTTTCAGGGGATGCTGCTAATGTTCAAGGGGTATGTATGAACAGTGTGTCAAGGTCATTCACCAATTAAGGCCATACTAAGCCAAGTCATTGTATTTTCTAGTATATTCATAAAAAATAATTCAATTTTGATATGAACATTGGTTGGTATTTTGGTAAAGAGAATTCGAATTAAAACTGCTTATCAGGGGCGTCGCCTTATTTGGTACAGGTATTTACCTTGATTTTAGGCAACTGGACAACGTATAGGAACAATTCTTCAATCCATTGCAACTCTCATCTTAGCTGTGGGTCTGTCAATGTACTATGAATGGAGACTAGGACTCCTGGCTTTGGCATTTACTCCAATAATTTTAGTCGCCACGTTCTTCGAAAGAAGGAATACCGCAAATTTGAACGACGACAGAAGTGACTCTCTGCAGAAGTCAACAAAGGTACCATGAATTTAGACTTTAACGATGAAAGTTTAGAATGAAAATCTGAATTAACGTTTCTTTTGTTATATAGATAGCAGTTGAAGGCGTGGGCAACGTTCGAACCGTAGCATCTCTGGGATGTGAAGAAACCTTTCATAATATGTACATATCAGAACTTACCCCGTACCACAAGAGTAACTTGAAAGCCACCCACTGGCGTTCGGCAGTGTTTGCCTTGTCGAGGAGCCTAATGTTCTTTGCTTATTCCGCCTGTATGTACTATGGAGGTTATTTAATAAGGGACGGGTTGAATTACGAAGACGTTTTTAAGTTAGTATTCAGTTTCATTACTTTAAATTTGAAATGTCAAGTATTATTATCTCGTCTCTTTTGAACGAAAGTAAATGTAGATATAAAAAGACTAATTTATATAATTTCAGGGTATCACAGGCACTAATTATGGGAACTGTATCTATAGCCAATGCTTTGGCATTTGCTCCCAATTTCACTAAAGGCATCGAAGCAGCAAGAAAAGTACGGGAACTGTTAACCAGGATACCTGAAATTAGAGACAGCCCTGACTCAATGGACAAAGATCAGGTAGAGCAATTGCTTTATCCATTCTATTCATCAAATTACGTATAAACATTGTACTTCTGCTTTTTATTTTTTTTTTCTCTATTTCAAAAGCTTTCTAATTTGTTTTAGGCCAGAGGTGATGTTAAATATGAAAACATTCGTTTCTCCTATCCAACCAGACAAAGTGTGGAAGTCTTAAAAGGACTGGATCTATCAGTTTTTAAAGGAAAAACGGTCGCACTTGTAGGACCCAGCGGTTGTGGAAAGTCTACGATTGTTCAACTGATCGAACGATTTTATGATCCTAATTCCGGTGCAGTGTATTTAGATGAAGACGCGTTGAAAAGTATAACACTTGGAACGCTAAGAAGCCATCTTGGCATCGTGTCGCAAGAACCAAATCTATTTAATAAAACTATTGCCGAGAATATCGCTTATGGTGATAATTCACGCGAGATCGAACTGCCCGAGATCATTCAAGCTGCTAAGAATGCTAATATACACAATTTTGTATCGGCCCTTCCAGCAGTAAGTGATTGTGCAATATTTTCCTTTGTACCTATCATTTTGCATCCAGAAGCAATCACATCACTCCCTGGACTTTCCCAATATGATGTCTTTTACTTCCAGCAGATTTGATGACCCTTCATTTGGAAAAGATACCCTTTCGCCCTCCTCACCATCACAGTTCTCTTCTTATTCCAATCAAATATATATCATTTAATTTAAAGTAGCAACAGTTTGGTTTTGAAAAATTTGCTTTTTTATTAACATTATTTATTAAATACTTTATTAATATTAAGTTTATTATTATCAAAAAACAATAAACCTACCGGTCAATATTGAGCGATACAAGCAGATCCTTAGTTGTAGGCGTGGAGTATACAGGGTCGGAAAGTCCCCATGGTTCATCGGCCGTTACGTGAGAACAATAAAGAAAGTCATAGAAATCCGTGCGATAGAAAAAGATGGCTATAACGAAGGCGTCTAATAGTCACCGCCCATTTCGCCCTTCTACAAATAAGATCCACTTCTTATTTGTGGTGGTTTGTGGATTTTTTCATGTTCCTAGCGGGAGCAACGATACCTGAACTGTTAATAGTTTGCACCTTTGTTCAATATTATCTGTATCAATCATTCTTTCAAGCTCCATGCTTATATTTCACCAGATACCTAAAATATTCACACTCGACTATTTTTAATCTTAGAGAATAGTAAAAGCAACGGTAATTAGTTACATTTTTTTAGGGTTACGACACCAAACTTGGTGAAAAGGGAACTCAGTTGTCGGGAGGTCAAAAACAGAGAATTGCCATTGCGCGAGCACTAGTTAGAAATCCCAAAGTACTTTTACTGGACGAAGCCACCTCAGCTTTGGACGCTGAAAGTGAAAAGGTACAATTCCTTGTAATTTCATATAATATCGTACTTATAATGACGTCTTGATTAGATTGTACAAGAAGCCCTCGACAACGCTAAACGTGGAAGAACGTGTATTACCATAGCACATCGTCTGACAACGATTCAGGATGCCGATTTGATATGCGTCATTAATGAAGGGATCATTGCTGAAATGGGAACTCATTCGGAACTTATAGGGAAACGGGGCCTGTATTACAAACTGCACTCTCATCAGCGTTCATGATTTTATTAGTATTTTAGTTAGTATTTGTAAATATTATTTATATAGTGTGTTTGTTGTAAATATAAGTGCGATCAATGTGAGTGAGGCTGTAAAGTATGCAAGGACAATCTTTGTTAAAAGCGACAATAAATTATTTTATATTTCTTAGTTCTCACTTTTATTTTCAGTTGTCTAATAACAATGAATACAAAGCCGTAAAATGTAGCTACTAATATTCTAAGCAGACATCACTGTAATATCGTTAGAGAGAAAAAAAATGAAAATTATCTATAGGTACTTCAGCTAATTAAATTAAACATTTGAGACAAAAAAACAGACATGTCATTTACGACCATGACTATTTACTTATTTTTATGTAGTAAGTTAGCCAGACGATTCCAGAGGTCCTCAATAAGTTTTAACAATTTTAACTATTTATTTGCAGCACCTTTCTGCAGTTTCATAATATGTAACTCCATAACCTGGGATATGTGAGGACGTAGACGCACGAAATTCTACTTTTTTAGACATCATTTTCGATACAAAAAAATTGATTTACAAAAAAAAAGAAAATATCAATTTTAATAAGGGTTTTCTCCAATTTCTGTAAATGCATTTATCTGGGATACTTTGTGACATCTATATAGGTACGAGTTTTAGCAATTTTTTCTTAAATCAGCAAAAGCGTTTTTACAATGTTTTGAAACATCTAAAATATTTTACCATTTGAACCTCTAGCGGGTAAACAAAACAACTTTGGATAGAGTTCACTTAGGTACATCGTTTGATTTTGACATTTTTGACTAGAATATTGAGAAGTTTGGTGTCGTAGATCGCTAGAATATTACAAGATTTATATGAAAAGGAAAATAAAAACAAACATCTAACATAATTATAACTGTATTGATCCTTAAAGGATCTCCAACACAAATACGTTGCAAAATTGAAAGATTTTAAAGTCACTTTAATCCTTTAATATAATCAAGTGGAAGATTAGAGCATATACTACATAGAAGAAGCACCTAGTGTTAAAAAGTACAGACGTTTCAGAGAAAGAGCGATAGTTTGAGTACTCGCTCTTTCTCCTTAATCGTTGACGAAGGAGTTGCGTTAGCCAATCACGTGCCTGCGCGAGAGAGAAAAGACCCAAACTATCTCTCTCTTTCTGTCACTCGTCTACGCTGTCGCTGTAAGCTTGCTGCCTCCATGTAGTACCTAACTTTATAAGGATGAAAATGCAACTTCTTTACTGCTTTATGGCATGATCCATATGATATTCCTATAAACAATTTAGGAATAATGATACAAATTTTAGAATAAATATTTGTTATTACCTGTTTGAGCAGATAACCGACGTAGTGATTTGGTTGGACTAGCTCGTAAGCGGTTTTCAACATCTTCCAAGACTTCCTCTGTAAGAATAGACTTTCTGCCTGGAGATTTTCCTCTACAAACACTTCCAGTGTTATGGAAGCGTTCCACTAATCTCTTCACGTGTCTCGAAAAAATTTCATAATCAATTTCATCATTTGGAAATTG